AGACATGAATGAACATGCATAGGCAAAAACAATTGACTTTTTTAAAATCACCAATACATTTTTAGTTTTCAGGATTTTATTTTTAAATGTGTAGGGTATGAATCTATCAAACTAAAAGTATTTCTTTTTATAGGAAAACCAGCTGTGCTCTTTTGGGATATATCTTTATTTTACACTCGTTGACTGCTATACTGAAGTCCGGGATCAGTGGCGTTATGCAGTGAGGCGGTGGAGGAGATAAAAATAATATAGGCCCTTTTTTCCCCGTCACACCAACCTAATCAAAAATAGTGTAACTTTAGTTTCAAATGCAAGCTTTGCAGTTGACTTGCTTATAAAGTATGTTCTTCTAAATCCGGTCTCTGGAACGGAACAAGCTGCTTTTAGCTGTTTCTTCTTTGCTAATACCATTTTTTCCCGTTCTTGATGACTTTGGTAAATGTCATTGGGGCGCGCACACATCTCTTCCCTCAGACAGGAGAAAGCATTCGAGAAGATGAGCGGCAAAATGTCAAGGAGACCTTCGCATGCCAGCGGCTTTAAAACTTCACCCGCCTTCGCAAAGGTTATTTCACATTTTTGCTGATAATGAAAGAATTGTTACGATGGCTGTTGAGATGGGAGACGGTTCCCACCTAGTGATTTCAAAGACGAGCTGAAAATCAGAAAAGTTAAAGGTGCTTTAAGCCATTTTCCCAACTTCCATTGGACCCAATCGCGTAAATTTAAGGATTGACAGGAGCGTTTCTGATTGGCTAAAAAATGCGGGCCACTCCCTTGAATTTGTTGTTTACAGAGTCTAGAGTCGTGTCGGATAGATCGTATTTATGTATTAACGCCACCACAAAGTCGTTACTACGAGTGGGAAACTCGAAATTTTCTTTAAGCCCTGAGTTTCGAGTTAGGGGCATATCAGTGAGAAAACATGTCATATGCAATGGATGCAGCCAAAGACTATAGATATGCAGCATCTGTATTGATGGTAAATTTGCTGAAATGAATAAAATGATTATTTTTTTGTCATGTACAATAAAACTATATGTTACATGTACAAAATATTACATCGTTGTATAATTACCGTATATATAATGGTTCAGTTTACATAAATTGAATAAAAACAGAAAAAAGCAAAAACACAATGACATTCATTATTCATCATTTTGTAGGTGTAGAATAAAAACAAATAATGTAGAAAAGTTAAATCGCCATCTTGTTCTGACCAAAGTGACTTGAACGCACCTAATGTCGTAATTATGACTTGTCAACTCGTAAATATGAACTTCCCAGGACTTGAATGCACCAAGAGACTAAAATGACATTTCAAGACACCTTTAGGTGTGATGATATCTGTCAGGTAATGTGTTGTATTCAAACAAATATTGCTTACAGCACCTTTAAGCTGTGATTAATTGAGATTACATTAGAAGTTTAGGCAAACTTGGAGAAACAGGTCAGGCGCTCATTAGGAGGAACTTTGTCAAAGAAAGTAAAGGATTTAGTTACTTGCACCCCAGAAACTGTATTTTTGAGTGTGTGAGAGAAAACACATGAAGGAGGTCTGCAAAGGTATATTTCATTCAATGCTATTCCTGTATTTATTTTCTGCGGAGACATGATTGGTCACAGTTGAGTGACAGCAGTGCTGTATTCAGTAGCGATGGCTTTAAAACAGACTTATGTTTGGTGGATCAGGCTGTCCGTCACCCCAGGGGTCAGTCTCACAAATCAGTCATCCATCTTCCTGACCTCTGACCTTCCTGTGGACATGGGCCTTTGTGTCAGATCGAACTGCAGGTAGAATATAATGAGTGTGTGGGGAGAAATTGTTAGTGTGCTGAAGAAGATCTACTGCAGGTCAGACGAGGGATCAGCGTGTTCTGAAACAGAAACACTCACACACACTGAGAGAGAATTATTAGCTCTCTGTCAAAACCTCTCTTTAAATGTTTTTCTTGGTGCCACACACACATGTGGACTCTGTCATAAGAAGTGCTGTCTGCAATTTGCGATATCTGGAAATGTATGTCATTTAGAGGAACCAAAATAGCAGGTGTGTAGAGTACCAGGGCTCCCTTACTGTACATTAAATGGGAAATAAGTCATTCAGTTTGCAAATTTCCCATCTGTGGAGATGTTGATTTCTTTTTTTAATCAGAAAATTTGTAATTTATTTATTTACTTTTGAGAAGTACTTTGTGAAGTCTGATATGATTAGTTTTGTGATTGTTCATGTAGTTTTGTTGGAAAGACGAATGCTGATACTTTTCTAAGCAATCAAACTTGCAATTTTTGTCTTGCAGATGATAAAAAATCAGGTGAAAAAAAAACTCGTATAGACTGAAGAAGAACCAGAACCATAGACCAGAATATCATAGAAAAGTTTGACGTTCACTTGGACCTTTAAGCAACCACCTAGCAACCATCCAGAATCTTAAGCAACCACTCTCAGAATATTAAAATCAGTGATCAGCTGCACGGTGTGTTTTCTTTGGTTTGTGCGGGGCTGTTCATTTTTAGAAAGAACACATCAGTCTCATTAAACGTTTGTTCATCATTTAGAAAAGTGTCACTGGAAGTTTTATGCCGTTTTCTTCCTTAACTTTTAATATTTTTTAATACTTAATTAATACTTAATACTTTTTTAATACTTTTAACTAATTTAATATTAGTCTGTACTTCTATATTTATTGAGCTTAGGGCGAGTTGATTCTGATTGTCTTGATGAGAGATGGGAGGATGTATTTGCTTTCGTATTCTCAGCTCACACAAGATTTTATTATATTGCCTGGAACGTTGTCTTAGAATAAACATCAGCTATAAGTGAAGCTAAATTTGCTATCAATTTTTTTTTAAAAATCTGATTGATCAAATGACAAGGTTTAATAGTCTTTGTATCCACCAAATGCTCTCGAGCTTGCGAGGCGCAGTTCATTAAGCAAACATCAACATCAACTATGTTTACTACCCATAATTAGTTGTGAAACAATGTTATTATCTCTTATCCATCCTAGGCTCATAGATGTGCATTTAATTAAGGCGTACTCGGGCAGGATGGGTGCAGTGTTCAACTATATTTATTCCTCACAGCACTGGAAAACATTTAGGTTTCTCTCATATAAATTGTTTATGTGAACAATAACAAACCCAAATGGTTAAAAAAGTAATATAATCAACACAATTTCCTTTTAGTTTAGGGATGTTAAAACAGCTGTTCCTAAAAGAGACATTTAATTGGGTTTTGTCATTTTAACACAAGAGAGTCTTGGGGCAAGTTCCTCTACAATGTTCCAAT